ACACAGGCAGACATGGGTTTAAAATTCAAGGAGCTAAGGTTCACCCATGTGAGCGAGTCCTCAAATCCAGAGGAGTGATTGAACTAATAATTTCCATAGGAATAATTGCCTCCCTTAATAAGGGAAAAGTGGGGTCATGCAGTGCATGCCCATTCCCCACAAAGCTGCCACTTAGAAAAGGAGGGAAATATTGGGACCTTGGTGCTCATAGGAAGAAGACAAAAAGGAGGGGTGCTTAACAAAGGCCTAATATACTTGCTTGTCCCGTCGATCTTCTGACTCAAATGCCATCACCATGGCCAGTACCCGAGCTTTCACAAGACTCAGCAGCAGGAGCTTGCCGGACAAGCCTCTCAGGAATCCACCTTGGGCCATTTTCATTTTCTGGAAAAACACAAACCAATCCTCACCCCCATATGAGGATGGGATCTGGGCCTTGCCACTGACCAGTCAAGGGATCCTTCCACATCATGTAACCCTTCTGCTCCTGAGACAGATTCCAATGACGATCTGCAGCTGACCATCCTTCAGCATCCAATGTTTGAAATTTTAAGATAAATAATACAGTGCTCAAATGATCTCAGGGAGTGCTATACTCCCCGATTTTAGTAAGATAATCCTTAATAGTGCAGTGGGTGCGTTCCACAATACCTTGTCCTTGAGGATTATAAGGAATACCTGTAATTAGTTGTATATGGTGGGAGGCAGCAAAATCACAAAACTTACTGCTGGTATAGCACGGGCTGTTATCAGTTTTAATAACTTTGGGCATTCCCAAGATGGAAAAACATGCATTGCAATGGGCTAGAGCATGCCTGACTTGTTTGCCTGTCTGAGGAGTAGCTAGAACAAATCCAGAGCAAGTGTTGACAGTAACATGCACATACTTTAGTGTCCCAAACTCTGGGATGTGTGTCACACCCATTTGCCAGACATGATTGGGTAACAATCCTTGAGGATTTATGCCATAATGGGGAACAGGCAAAAATTGAGGGCACACTGTGCATTGCTTCACGATGGTTCTGGCTTGTTCCTTGGTCAAACTAAAGCGCAAATGAAGGGTGTTGGAATTCAAGTGAAACCTAGCATGCAGCGTGTGCAGTGGCCCCTCTAGCACAAGGTGGCTTTCCCACAGAGACCATGAGGGACCACATGCTTCATCCCTCAGGACAGGAGGGGGAGAGAGGCTGCATCACTCAGTGGAGGGTGCTGGGTAAATGCACCTTGGTCAGAGAACCTGCTGGGATGTAGGGACGAGAATCAGGTACCTGCAGAGAGGTGAGGGTGAGTGATGATCTAGTTCTAGATGCTCAGCTGTGCCAGGAAAGCTTCCTCCCGCACCTGTATACCTGTCAGGTGACCCTCAGAGCAGGCAGCGTGGCCTTGTGGAGTCCAGGCCCTGTGTGCTGGGTGCAGAGGCCATGCATGTTCTTTCTGTTTTCTCTCTTAGTCCCTGCTTCTGGGAGAGCCCAACAGACCTCAGCTTCCTGTCCCCCCTGGGGTGGGCCATGGACCAGGGTAGGGCAGGAGGGATTTTAGGTTCTTGGGCACTGTCCTTGGCTGTGGAATGGCAGCTTGGGCATGTGTGGGTCTTTGTGAAGTTGGGTGTGGACACCAGGAGGTTTTCCTCTCTTCTTAGGGACACTTGCTACCCTGAGGACTGTGCAGATGTGTGTGTGTGACTGACAGAGTCAGCACCCAGGGGAGTGTCTGCCTCTTCCTCTTGGTCCTTCTCCTCAACCTGCAGACCCAAGGCCTGTTGGGAGTCTTTCCTGTGCTTGCCCGACAAACATGGCACCTCTGTCTTCCCTGGAGTTCTGGCTGCATTTTCCCTTCCCCTGATTTCTCGTGCAGTTGAGCAACCCTTAGGTGACAGTCGTATTCTCTGGTGTTGCTGGTGGTGGCGGATGGGAGTCTTGGGGGGCAAAGGGAGGTCCTCTGTGTGTGAAGCTTCTCTGTGGCCAAGAAGGAAGGAGTCGGGGACCCAGGGCTGTGAAATGCCTGGGTCTTTGAAGATTTCTCCTCTCCTATTCCCCAGAGTCGAGGTTGAGGACATATGAGGCATGGGCAGCCTAGGCTCATGGTCTGGCCATGCGGACCCCATAGCCCTGGGACTCACATGGCGTCCAGAGCAGGACATCCCTGACCAGGAACATGGCTAGCTCTGTGCTCTACTTGGTCGATACATCCTCTTCCTAGTGTGATCAGATACCAGCATGGCTCCCTGCAAATGCTCCTGCTGGGTCTGGAAGCCTTGGCTGTGCCAGTGTCATGAGTGCTACTTGTGATATTGTGTTGGTTCAGGGACTCAGCTGCTCAAGGTCACCACTGGGGTGTGAGCCTGTGCCAGCACTTGGCCAAAGTCCTGATTCTTCGGGGCGGGGGAAGGAGCCCAATCCCAACTCCCCAAAGCGCAGGGGACCTGTTTTTTGTCCCACTCAACTCTGCCCTGGCCATGGCAACAACACCATCTAAGACCTTGAGCTGATGTGCTGGGCCAGTGATTGCTATCTATAAACACTGCCCTGGCTTCCCCGGCCTCTGGCCCTGTGCCCGCTGCCCCAGGATGCCCTGCTTGATGGGAAGGGGTCCTTCTCTGCGTGGCTTCCACCAGGGATCTCCTGTCAGGAAGCAGAGTTCCAGCTGTTCCAGGGGTGCTGTGGCAGGCAGCAGGTGCTCACACCATGTGCCAAGCAGCTCTGGATGGGGTGAGCAGGTCCCATGTGCACAGGGAGGCTTTGTTTTCCCACAGGCTGAGTGCCTGGCTCTCTGGGTCCCTTGCTGTTGGTGCTCCTGTGGAGTCATTCGCCCTTGGGTTGTCTGCCACAGGAAGTTACCTCCAGAGGCCCAGGGGGAGCTCTGTGGGGATTGGGCATTGAGGAAGTGTGGAAAGGCTGTCTGGGAGGTGGGTCTCCTGGTGCTCCCTCCTGCACAGCGAGGAGGGTCCCACATGGGACTGGGGATGGAAGTTGGAGTCTCTGTTAAGGGAACAGGAGTCTGTCTCTTCTCACAGGCTCAGTGCAGGCAAAGTGAGGGTGGTGCCAGGGCCCCTGAGGGTCAGGCTGATGGAGAAGAGTGACAGTGGCATCTTTGTGGGTCATGCCTGCATCCATCTGTTTGTTAGGCCATCATCCTGGGCCTGGCTGACTTGTTCCTGGCCTCTAGGTGGTCAGGGCTGGCATCAGGGGCAATCCTTATGATGGCTTCCATATGAAGCTGCCTGAGGAAGAGGGATGCTGAGTTCCTGTGGTGTGTGTGCCAGTGCAGACCCAGCCTGGGGCACAGCCTGGGTGCAGGTCAGGGCCATGGGGCTGGAGCTCTGTGTGGGACATTTCCTGCAGCTTGGTCTGTCCCTTACACTCTCATGTGTGACCCAGCTTCATGGTCAGGCAGCCATGTGGCCTGGGCACCATGGGAGGACATGATCCCTGTGTCACAGCCAGGAGACCCTGTCCAGATGACACCCTGGCAGGGTAGGCCAGATATGAGGTGGCTCCTGTCCTCTCCATGGCCTCTCCCATGGAGGACATGTCCCTTCTAGTCTTTGGTGGCAGTGTGTGCAGGGTGGGGAATGGCTCAGGATTCCTGCTCTAGTGCTGATAATCTTTACAAGTCCTCCTCTCAGGGAACATGGCTTGGAGGAGAAAAAGTGGATCATGAACTCAACATGCAGATCCCTGTCCATGAAAGTGCCTCTGATTAAGGTGGCCATGGCAGAGACCAGCTGAGGGCATGGAGGGCAGGTAGAGGCAGGCACGGTTTGGGCCAGGGTCTCAGAACCCTGAGTTGCCACTTGGAAGAGGATGCACTGAGGGCTGTGGCCTGGCTGTGTTTGTGCTAGGATGGGGCAGGGAGGCTGCAGAGTCCCAGGTCCATGAGTGCCTGTGGGAGCAGCTGAAGCACAGGAGGGCACCTTGCGGTCTGGGACCTGGGCAGGGCAAGGGCCCACAAGCTCCTTGGGTAGGGCCAGCTCTGGCTGTCCAGGGTTGCTGCTCTGGCCATCTGTGCCTCTGGCCTCCTGGTGTGCTGTGCAGGTAGGAGGGGCTGGCTCAGGGCTTGGGAGGGAGAGGAGGCTGAGTGCAGTGTGGGGTGAGGCAGCAAGAGAGGCATGGCTCATGCAAGGCAAGTGGAGTCCCAGAAGAAGGAGTAATTTCGACTCTGTGTGAGCCTAGAGGTCAGGGCTGAGTCCTGTGGACGTATGAGGGCTGCTCTTGGAACTGGTCCTCCACCCTGAGGCCCTCTGCTCCCTTGCTCTGTGACAAAATGGCAGGGTTTCATGTGGATTGAGGTGTGGTGGAGGAGCCATGGCTGAGAAAGGGGGTGATAGGAGTGCTCATGGTGCATCAGCATGCTCCCCACAAGGGCTGGATCTGAGTTTTGAGAAGAGTGAGAGGTCCTGAGGGGATAAGAAGCCCCTTGGAACATTGGTTCTTTCCCCAGGTACTTGTGAGCGTGTCTGTCCCAGATGACCAGCAGGTGGCGCCATCGGACCATGCCAAGAGAAATCCAAGCCGGCAGGCTATGCTGTTTATTCCTGAGCCCCCTGGTTCCACTGAGGCAGCCCTACCATCTGCAGAGAGGGATCTGAGTGAGTTCCCCCATGCTGAAGTCTCACTAACAACATCCTGAACACTTCTATTTCCTTATCTCATAATTGGAAAGCAATGGTGAAGTCATTGTGTTACTTTGGGTAAAGCTGTTGACTGCAATCCCAGGACTCCATATTGACACTGATTTTTATTCCTGCTGCTACACCATTTCCAATCCGGTTCCTTGTCATGGTCTGGGGAAGCAGCAGAGGATGGCCCACGTCCTTGTGCCCTGCACCCACATTGGAGACCCTGAAGAATTTCAGGCTCCTGGCTTCAGCTATGCTCAATACTGGTCACTGTGGCTGCTTGGTGAGTGAACCAGTGAGTGGGAGAATCCCCCCATGTGTCCTTGTCTGGTAGCAAATTTTCCTTTAAATATAAAATAAATGTTTATACAAAAATCTTTAAAAAATAACATGTACCAGCCTTGTGAATTGAGATTCTTTTTGCAATGTAGATGTTACTTATAAAGCCAAAATAAAGAAATTAAAACAACAAAATGGAATAAATTACATTTCTCCATGTATCAGTACAGATTAAAGAATTGACATTTGTGAGTGAGTGTAGGAATGCCATGTGGGTTATTTGTGATGTGTGTGTAGCCGAGTGTATGCAGGGGAAATGTACATGTTGGCAGGCATCTCACTGTTGAGTCTGGGGGAGCAGGGGTGAGGATGGAGCGGAGGCAGGGCTCTATTACCTTGGTGACAAGGGGAGGGAGTCTGTGCAGGGACAGGGACCACCGTGTCCAGCAGAGCAGGAGGGGCTGGTCCTGCTGCAGAATCTTCTGGGTGTGTTTCAGGCTGGCATGGCAGGGATGCCTGTCCTGAGAGGGGCCCTGTGGGGTACAGAACTGGGGTGAGCTGTGGTGTCAGGGGCCTGGGATCCTGGTGCTGAAGAGCAAGGTCGGTGCTCCTGGGCGGGGCGCTGGTGGGGAGGCAGGACTGAGTGAGTGAGGAATGAATATGGTGGACACAGGGAACAGCCCAGCAGCTGCCTCCCCTGGTGCATTCTGTGTGGCTGGGAGGGGTCTCTGTCCTTGCTGCCTCCTGGTCCTGGCTGCTCCTTGGGACAGGTCCAGCCCAGGCCAGGCAGCAGTGGCAGAGAGCTCCAGGGTTCCCTGTGATGCAGCCTGAGCTGGGCTGGGAGCTCTGTCTGCAGCAGGAGTGAACCAAGTTCTGCCTGTGACCAGGAGAGTACAAGGGACACTTGGAGGTCTGTCTGGGGTCCTGGGGTCCAGGAAGGAGGTGGGGGAGAGAGTTCATTCAGGCACCATGCAAGGTGCACCTGCTGGTACATGCTGTTATGTTTTTGCTCAGCGCTGCTGTCTCTCTCACATTGCTGCAGGCATGTTGGATGCTTTGAGACCCTGAGTTTGATTGACCCTCAACTATCATCTTAGTGCTCATTTGTCTTCAGCCATAAACCTTAGCATGCTTGGAGGTTTTCCTTTATTTGATTCAAACTTACAAGTACTGATAGTTGAAATAGTTAATTATTTTTGAAGCTTTCTTATGAGAGGCTGGCATTGTGGTGTAACATGGAAAGTGCTGCCAGCAATGCCAGTGTCCCATGTGGCCATTGAACAGAGTCCTGTGTGCTCCACATCTCAGTGAGCTTCCTGCCCTTGTGCCTGGAAGAGCAGCAGAAGCTGGCCTGACCCGGCAGCCATTAAGAAGATTGCAAGAAGTTGGTAGATCCTGCTGTAGCCTGGCCTGGCTCTGGCTTTTTAACCAGCTGGGGAGTGAGCCAATAGGTGTGAGATCTCTAACTGCCTCTTCCCTCTCTAACATTCAAGCAAAATAAATAAATAAATAAATAAATAAATAAATAAATAAATGGAGCTTCTCAAGGCGAGCAGTACCCTTTGTGTCTTCTCAGTTTCTGCCTGCCCAGTGGCCAACACTCCCAACACCTGAGCTGACCTTAGCCTTGGCTCCCTGTCTCACACTCAGTGTCTTTCTGAGAGCCCCTAAATGTCTGTCTCAGCCAGTGTGTGCTGCATTGTGTTAACAGCTCCCGGTGTCTGTCATCAGCAGGAAGCCCACTCAGCCTGCAGCCCATGCTGTGCTGACCTTAGTCACCTGCACCTTCACCTTCTGGGTCAGGATTCCCCGCTTTGGGCATGTTGACTGTGTAGGTGTGGACTGTACAAACTCAGGCACTCTTCCAGGCTGTCTGAACTGCCAGTGAGTGTGGGTGATCTGTGTGAGCAGACACTCTGGTTAGTCACAGGCTCGGGTGTCACCATGGGAGGAAGGGAAAAGAAAGATGCATGTGATTCTGCTACAGTTCTGCTTCTCATTGTAAGTTATTTGAGAGAAGAGTGACAGAGACAAGGAAAGTCAGATAGAGACAGGGGTAGATGTGTGTGTGTGAGAGAAAGAGAGAGAGAGAGAGAGAATGTTCTTCCATCCACTGTTCAGTCCCCAAATGGATATAAAAGCTGGGGCTGGTCCAAACTGAATAACTGAATCCAGGAACTCAGAACTCCAACCAGGTCTCCCACTTAGCTGTCAGGTGCCCAAGCACTTGGGCTGTCTTCTGCTGCTTTCCCAGGCACTGCAGCAAGGAGCTGGATCAAAAGCAGAGCAGCCAGAATGTGAACCAGCTCTCTGCTATGGGATGTTGGCTTCAACGCAGGAGCTTAACCAGCTGCACCAAATGCCTTCTCTTGGGACAGGTTCCCATCTCTTACACAACCTTTGCTGCTTTCAGATCAGCCTTAGCTGTGCCCCACATCCTGCTATGTCCTCATTTTTGAAGAGTTGTGATGATGTCTGAAAACCTTTCTCTTTCCTTCATCCCCAGATGTGTGCTCTTTATGCTGACTTGGCACTGGATCAGTTTCTTGTAACAGACAGAGCCTCAAGCTCAGCCAGTGGTTGCAGCCCCAGGTCCCCAGGTTTGGAGTGATCATTTGTCCCTGGGGAGCCTGTGGGCTCCTAGGTTCCTCAGTGAAGGTGGGAGCTCTCCAAGCCTTATCCCTCTGTTCACTCCTTCCCAGCCTGGGCAGTCTGTCTGCTGCTTGCCCATCTGTTGTCCTTTGTCCCAGCCATCTGTGAGGAGTGCAGGTGTTTAGATGCTGTGACCAGCATTGTCATGGAGATGAGTGCAGCCCTGACCAAGAATGAAGGTAGTGAAGCAAAGAGCAGCTGCTGAGTGGATCTTACCATGGCGCTCATGTGTGAGCTCAGCCACAATTCCAGGGGAGCAAATTCCATTGACCTCCTCTGGCATCAGGAAGTGGTGTCTGGAATGTTAGCTACTGGCCCTGTGGCTGCCTGAAAGCTGGGGGCATGGGGCTGGGGTTGATAGGTGGGTCAGAAAATAACACTCATGCTCTCTTAGCATATGTAGAAACTAATTTTTTCAATTAAGTATGTCTCCGTTGTGCAGTTTTATGGATTAAAAAATCAAAGAAATTTGATTCTGAGAATTTTCCCCCCTTGGTTAATAGTTGTTCCATTTTAAGGTTTTATTTTTATCCTAAATGAATTAATCTTCTACCATGGGAATTTAGAGAGAGAGAGAAAGAGAGAGAGGGAGGGAAAAAAGACAGACAGAGATAGGCAAATGGAGGGAGATCCTCTATCTGCTGGTTCACTCCCCACATGCAGTAGCCAGCGCTGGACCTCTCTGAATTCTGAGTCCAACCCTCCATCTTGGTCTCCCTTGTGGGTGGCCCAGTGTGAAAAGGACCATGTGCTGCTCCAGGGTGTGTGTTAGCAGGACACTGGACTGGATGCTGAGCACTGCAATGTGGGATGCAGCTTTAACAGTGCTGATGTACCTGTTGGTGCCCAATAGTTGTCCCTCATTTTATTTTTGATTAACACATAGAATTTGTTAGTATATATTTCTTTTCATGGTAATGTCTTTTTCTTTGTCTCTCTTCCTTCCTTTTCTCCTTTCTTCCTTCCTTCTTTCCTTGCTTGCTTCATTTCAGAAACGCAGAGTTACAGAGAGAGCAGGACACAAAGATCTTCCATCTACTGTTTCACTTCATAAATGGCTGCAACAGCCAGAGCTGGGCCAGGCTAAGCCAGGAGCCTAAGATATGTCCTTAGTGAATGACACAAGTACTTGAGCCATCTTCTGGTGCTTCCCCAGGCCATCAGCAGGGAGCTTGATTGAAGTGGATTTGTTAAATTTTAGGATTTGAATCGGTGCCCAAGTTGGGGGCCCTCACAGCAGTTTCTTATGAATCTGTGTTTTGCTAGAATAGCAGTAATGTGATGTGCAGCCACGACATAGCAGCTGATGTGGAGCCAGGAACCATTTCCCTTTTTGTTTTAAGATCTATTGATTTTTATTGTAAAGTGAGATTTACAGACAGACAGAGAGACACAAAGAAAGATCTTCTATCAGCTGGTTCACTCCCCAAGTGGAAGCAACTCCAGATCTGAGCCAATCTGAAGCCAGGAGCCAGGAGCTTCTTCTGTGTCTCCATGTGGGTATAGGGTCCCAAGGCTTTGGGCCATTCTCTACTGCTTTCCCAGGTCACACACAGGGAGCTGGATGGGAATCAGGGCCGCCTGGGATTAGAACTGGCACCCATCTGGGATCCTGGTGTTTGCAAGGTGAGGACCTTAGCTACCAGACTACTGTGCTAGGTCCGCCTTTTATTTTTTAAGGCTTTGAAAATTCTTATTGGAAAGCCAGATTGTACAAGAAAAAAAGAGATCTGTATCTTCCCTCACCAAATGGTGTACTGGCCATAGCTGAGCTGATGTGGAGCCAGGAACCAAGAGCTTCCTCCTAGTCTCCCACTCAGGTGCAGGTTTGCAGGCTTTTGGGCTGTTCCTGTCTGCTCTCCCAGGCACAAGCAGGGACTGAGGGGGAGGTGGAGTAGCAGGAGCATGAACCAGTGTCCATGTGGGATGAGGTGCTTGGGGGTGGAGGATCAGCCAGTTGAGCCAATGTGCTGGACCAGTAATGTCTCCATTTTCATTTCTGATTCTACTTATCTTACTTATCTGAGTTTTTTTTTCAAAGCTTTTTTTGGCCTGTCTGGTTAAATATTTGTCTATTTTTGTAAAAAACAATCTATATTTTTGTTTACTTTCACATTTCCCTTCATTTCACTTTCATTTATTCTGATCTTTCTCCTCCTGCTAATCTGGTATTTGGTTTGTTCTTGTTTCTCTGTGAACAATGACCTTAGTATTTTTATTGGGATCACATTGAATCTGTAAATTGCTTGGGGCACCATGGACATTTGGATCATATTAATTCTTCTCATTCAGAATCTTGGAAGATTTTCCCCATTGTTTGTGTCTCATGTTCTTTCATTGGAGTTGTGTGACTTTCACTGTCGAGATCTTTCACATCCTTGGCTAAACTCACCCCAAGGCATTTCACTTGTTATAGCTGTTGTGAATGGGAAGACCTGGTTCACACAGGGGCTGAAGCACATGTTCTCATGTGTCTGCCTCTCAGAGATGTGAAGTTCAGCTTCCCCAGTTTCTGAGGGAGCAGGAGCGTCTCCTATCAGATCCCCCCAGGAAGGATTCTGGGCTCCTGTCTGATCTGCTGCAGCCAAAAGCCTGAGGGAATCAGAGCTGGGATTGCCTGAATTTGTCTAGTGCCCCAAAATAAAAACCCTTCCCTGTTGATGTCTGTACCCCTTTATGTCTTGTCCTAAATGCTTATTCTCTTGTTTATTCAGTGTTGTAAATTCTTTCAGATTTCCCCTATTATTCTTAGTTTTCAGTGAATGAGGCCATCCTAAAGGTACATGTGAGAGATAAAACTGCCCTCACTTGTTCCTGGGAAGTGAGCCAGTGGAGGGGAGCCTCTCATGGGTCTGTCAGTCTCCATCTCTGAAACAGACGAACATAAACTTTGACAAGAAAGACTCTGTAAGGAAAGCTCCATGGACACCTCCAAGGAAGGGTCGGGAAGAGTCCCTGGACTGGCCATGCAGTCAGCTGCTGAGAGGGGCTGCAGCCCAACTCCCCGGGAACACAGAGGCCCTGACTCCAGGATCCTCATATAACTTGTACTCATCTGGCTGCCCCTCTGTGACCTTGGTGTAGACTGTAATGGGATGTACAAAACCTTCCAGGCTGTGGGACTTTTTACAGCACATGATCCAACCTGGAAAACCTCAACATTATAGCCACTGCAGTCAGAAGAGCAGGCAACCAAGGTGGGAGTTGAGGGCAGCTGGTTTGGGAGGTGAGGGCAATGTCAGGGATGGGCCTGGAATCTGTGGGTCGGACACTAACTGCAGGTGTCCCTGTCAGGATTCAGGGCAGGACTGCCAGTTGGTGTCAGAGAATCAGAGACCTTCTTGGAGAGAGGAAAAGCCCCTCACTGACCCACGGAGAGAGGAATTCTGAGGGAGAGTCAGGAAGTGAACCTTGTCTTGCCTGGAGCAAACAGAAGCATTTCCATCACACCTCAGAGCTGCTAAATGCAGGACGCCCAGGCTGTCAGCACAGACTGCAGTCCTGGAGCATGCGCAAGGCCAGGGTCAGGGTCAAGGGTGTGAGCTGTGCCCTCTGTGCCCAGCAGCAGGGCTGTGGTTCCCAGCTGGGACCAGCCAGGGTGAGGCCATGGATTCTGCTCCTGGCTGTGCAGCCTCAACCAGGTTCTCTGCATTTCCTCTGCCTTCAGTCAGCTACAGTGACACACGGCCAAGGGAAGGGTAACTTAGCAACTCCTGGATTTCACTGTGGGCTTCAAGGAGCCCGAGAATCTGTGTGGGGCACCATGTGAGTCAGGTGGATCCTGGGAGGTTTAGTGTTCTCAGCTGTGTGCTCTGCCTGAACCTTCCTCCTGGGCTGCCCATCCAAGGGCGAGAAGGTACTGTGTGTCTCCAAAGTCCTGTGTCATAATTGACCACCTATGTTGTTTATTTCCTCTGTGATGGAAAACCGCAGATGTAGGCTTGGGCACTTGGCACGGGGTGGATTGCAGGTTGGGATGCCCAATCCCTTCTCAGTGTTCTGTGTCCTGACTCCACTTCCAACCCAGAGTCTGCCCCGTGCATACCATGGGAGGCAGCACCTGATATAGCAGGACACCTGGACTTAGTTCTGGGCTCTGGGCTTTGTCCCTCTCCCAGCTGCGTGAACATTTAGAAAGTGAGCCTGGGGAAGTGGGAGCACTCTCCTTTTCATAAAAATGAAAACATATCCAAATAAATAAAAATAATGATTTGACCCTTCCTGCATCTTGTGGTGCTCTTTGCTCATGGGCCTGGGGTTCCCAGGGTGGGTAACAGCAGGGTTGACCGCGGGGCTCTCAGAAAATGCAGGTGCTATTTACCATTGCTCTGCTAGGTCCACATGTGAACACTGGGAGCTGAAACATCACAAACTGAGACTGTTGTGACTGCCCCTCCCCCCGACATCCCAACTAAACAGGAGGGTGCCCAGCAGTGAGTGTGGGGCCTCCTTGGAGATCATACAGCTGACTTGGACTTGACACTCCCTGCCCTATCCAGCACCTTGTTACAGTCCTGCCCAGCACAGCAGCCTGGGGACAGTCAGAGGGGGAGCTCTGGCTCAGAACTGGGTGCCTATATTTCCCACCTCGTGAGCCTAGAGCATCATAAGTAAAACTGCTGTTAGCTGGGTCACCTGCACTCAGGTTTCTGCCAGAGTGCCCCCTTATCATGTGCAGCCAGGGCCCAGGTGTGCTCACGTGACCATCCTTCAGGGGAGGCTAAGGCCTGGGTGGGCGTTGTCTCCCCTCCTATGGCCAGAATGTGACCTGGGGCGGTAGTGTCAGCACCCACCTGAGCCATATGCAGATGTTCTGCCCACTCTAGACTGTCCCAACCCTCCCTGTGCCCAAGGGCTCCCCTAGCACATCTGTGGTCCTTGGTTCCCACAGTGACCCTAGCGCTGCAACTGCTCAAGCTGTGGGCTCGGTTCCCCCACTTAGCCCTGCTGGTCCAGGGCTCAATCCTGCACCCTCTCACCATTGCCACTTACTTCCTGGGTGCCCTATCTCCATTCCAGACTGCAAAGGTGGTCCATGTGGAGCTACGTCTCCACTTGTCTCCAGCTCAGAGACTTACCCTCATCCCCCGACTCATGGTCAAAGCCAGCCCCACAGTGTCACTTCTCACTGACATCCTGGCTCCCCCTGCTCCTGCACTGAATGCCTGGGCAACCTCCTTGGGATCTACCCTCCCATGTCAACCCTCTCTCACCCATCCCCACTGCCACAGCCTGAAGCCCTGGGTGTCCTCCTTGCCCCCTCCTTCTCATTCCCTTGATGCCGTCCAGGGGAAGTGCTGTGCATCCATCTCCAGAAGGATCCAGAACCTCTTCTCTCCCACCCTGCCCATGCCCAAACCCATAACAGTGACTGGCATCCCTGCCTGGACACAGCAGGAGCCCCTAGAGCTTTGTCCCCCACCTTGTAGTCTCTCAGTCCCGTCCTGACACAGCAGCCAGGGTGGTCCCTGGACAGTAGATGGTGCACACATCCCTTCTCTGCTCAGAGCTGTCTCATGATCCCACCTCATTCAGAGTCAGGGCTGAGCATTACAGTTAAGTGGATGGCAGTGTCCTGACCAGCCTTCCTGATGGCTCCCTGCTCTGTGTGCAGCCTAGCTCCTGCCCAGGGCATTTGCACTGGCCGTCCCATTCCCACACAGCACCTGCCCAGACACCTTTGCTGGTGACTCATTTTGTCCTTCCAACCTTCCTCAGGATCACCCCCTTAGGGCAGTGTACGCTGACCATGGTGGTGAGACAGCCACTGCCCCAGCCCTCACAACCACTATGGACCAACTTGCCCAGCACTGGGTCTGGCCCACAGTAATGAGAGTTTAGTGATGAGTGTGTAGCACCTGCCCCTTCTAGAACTGGTGGCTTCATTAGTGTAGCTGAGACAGAGGCTACTTGTGTCTGCTGCAGAGTGCTGTTCTCTCCTGCTGGTGTCCAAGAGGCCTGTGCTTTCTCACAAGTGTCTACTGCCCTCCTGCCTCTCTCCCTCCCACACTGCCTCCTGCACACACAGAGGTGAAGGCCACCAGAGCTCACACAGAGGAAGAGCAGGTGCAATCAGCCAACAACACTAAGGAACAGAATGAATACAGGAAGACAGGAGCAAGTGCTGAATGTAAGCCTGAGTTTTGACTGTCCTGGCCTCGTGCAGCATCCACATACTTGGTTCCATGAGATAGGACAGCATGGCCACAGCTGGGTCCTGTGATGGCAGGTGTTGGTGGGCACATTCTACCAGAGAGACCAGGACACTGAGGCAGTTGAGCCAGGTTGGCAGTGACCACAACAAAGACTGTTGGGCTTGGGATACCGGGGCAAAAACCTGTCCTCACCCAGAGCCTCCCAGCCTCTCCTGTCTGACCTGCAGGTGATCAACACAGCAAACACATGGCTTGTAGCAGGTTCTTGGTACTTCTGTTTATTTTCTCTGTCCAATTTTTGAAATTTTTGAAATATCCTTTTAATTTTCTCATGAACCACTCATGACTGGAGTTGGATAAAATTGTTTGATGTTCAGATTTGCACAAGGAAGAATGAAGCTGCAGCAGGGGCACCTGCCTTGAGACAGAGATGGAGGTGCCCACGCTGCCCTGGGAGGGCCAGGCTCCCACCTCACACTGTGCCCACAGGAACACACTCAGATGTCTTTACAGGAAGGGAGGGCAGGGCTTTTTGAAGACACCAGGATGAGGACTTGAGCAAGATTCTATCCCTCTGTCCCAAACAAGGCAATTTTCTCACACTACAGAAACAAGGTGACAAATTCAGGTCACTACACATGGATCAGGAACAGCACAGCACACATGAAAATGTGCAAATGCAAGGAATTCCCCAGGACCTCTGTGTCTCCTCACCCTGCCCCCCTCCCTTCCAGGTTTCACCTTTCAAGCTGTGAGAGAGCAGTCAGAGCCCCGGGCACTGTATCAACCTGGGAGAACCAATCAGGACTTGGTGAGACCCCTGGTGATATGGCTGAGGGAGGAGCTACAGGGTGGGTGGGGCAGCTTCCCCATGCGTATCTGGCTATGGCAAGGGTCTTGGGGACTCCCACACCCCCAAACACACCCCAGTGCTTACCTGCAGCCCTAGTGTAATTCCCTCCTTCCCCACCTGGGAGAGAAAACAAGTAGTGAGAGTCAGGGAGAAAGCAGGGCCTGAGGACCTGCCTAGAGGGAGCCCAGAGGATACTAGCATGTGGCTACAGACCCAGGAAAGGATCAGAAGGCACCTCTCCTGGAGGTGTGTCCTCAGCTGGGACCTCCCCCTGGCCTGGGGCTGCTGGAGCTCAGGTTCTCATGAGCAGAGTCATCCCTGTGGAGTGTTCATGGTGCACCTTCATTTGGGCATCACACCAGAACCAGTGTGAGCACTTGGGGCCCAGCTGGGGATGTAGGTGTGTGTGCATGTTGCTTCCCAGGAACGGGGTAGGGGGACCTTCTCCTTAGGGAACAGCAGACTCAGACCCAGCCCTCACCCTGCCCTACCTGAGCGCTTCCTCTTTATCATCACAACAGTGACCACAGCTCCAATGAGCACAGCTGCCACGAGGACCAGGCCAGCGATGACTCCCCACATGGGCACAGTGGGCTGAGGAGGCTCTGAGAGGGGAAGAGAGGGTGAGGGGCTCTGACCCCAGGTCTCAGCCCCGCCCCTGCTGAAGACTCCATCCGTCCCTCCCTCCTTACCCCATCTCAGGGTGAGGGGCTCAGGCAGCCCCTCATGCTCTATGTGGCATGTGTATCTCTGTTCTTCTCCAGAAGGCACCAGCACAGCTGCCCACTTCTGGAAGTTTCCATCCCCTGCAGGCCTGGTCTCCACCAGCTCCATGTCCTGGGTCAGGTCCTCCCCATCTCGCTGCCAGGTCAGTGTGATGTCCTTGGGGTAGAAGCCCAGGGCCCAGCACCTCAGGGTGGCCTTCTGGTCATAGACTGGGTGCTGTGTTACATGTACTGTGGGTGGGTCTGAGGGAAAATTTGGACAATTCAGGCCTTTCATGTTTTTCACCAGACACCAAAGCTGCACTCAGTGACCCTCCTGAGAGTGGACAGGAGGACAGGGATGGGGGAGCAGTGCTAACTCAGACCTGGCCTGGATAAAGACAATGGGATCATCTGTTGTTGCAAAGATGTAGATAAAGAATCAGGTATGGTTCAGGCTGGGAGGACCCGGGTCTTTGACAGGATGGAAAGGATTTGGTGTTGTCCTGAGTGGAGGCTGAGAGACTGAGAAACCCTGGCGTGAATCTTCCCAGTGCATTGGCCTGAGGCTGAGGACAGGCCTGGGAGGGGTCACAGCTCACAGGACCAGTGGGAGTCCAGGGCACCAAGAGGATTCCTTTCAGAACCGTCTACGCCTGTACAACCCAGGTCCCTCTTCTATACTGAGGGAAGGGAGGACATCCATGCTGTGATCATGAGGAGAGGGGGACACAGTCTTGGGTTCCACTTTCCTCCCATCCTGCACACCCCCAGCCCTAAGCTTAGGAGGTGGATGAGGGCTACCCCTACCTGCCCTGCACACCTGTGCGCTGTAGTTTCTCCTTTCCCAACTCCAGGAATCTGCTCAGCCACTTCACACAGTGCCCCTCCATGTATGCTCTGTGCTGCTCAGCCGCAGCTGCTTCTTCCCACTTGCGCTTGGTGATCTGAGCTTCCTTGTCAGCAGCAGTCCAGGTGTGCAGGTCCTCATTCAGGACGATGTAGTCCTTGCCATCATAGGCAAACTTCCTGTACCCGCGGAGGAAGAGCCCATCTGCCCCGACCTCGCAGCCGAAGAGATGCTGGAGCGTGTGAGAGACTGTCCCCGCCCGCGGTCAGCCCTGGCCAGGCAGCTGCGCCCCCGCCCTCACCGACCCGCGGGGATTTCAGCGGAAACCGAAAACAAAACCCGCGGGCTCCTCCCGCCGAGGGTCTCTGCGGGGCGCGCAGTCTCGGGGTGGGGGACCTCGGCCCCGGGGACCCGGAGCGCCCAGGGCGCACGTGTGGAGGGCTCGGGTCACTCACCGGCCTCGCTCTGGTTGTAGTAGCTACGCAGGTCACTCATGTAGCCGCGGAAATCCTGTGTGTGCTTCTCAGCGAGCTGTGTGAGGCTGTCCACGTACTCCTGCTCCACCTGCTGCATCCACGGTAGTTCTACCCTCGGGTTCTCGGCGTCGCTGTCGAAGCGTCCGAACTGCGTGTCGTCCACGTAGCCCACGGCGAAGAAGCGGGGCTCCCCGAGGCCGGGCCGGGACACTCCGGTGATGAAATACATCAGGGAGTGGGAGCCTGGGGGAGAGAGGGGCTGAGACCAGGGCCGAGCCCTGCCCTGAGTCGTATGCCGAGTTCGCAGTTCCCTGGAGTGGCCAGGGAGGAATGATCCGTGGGGTTACGAGACGGATGGACAAGGGGAAGGGTCTGGGTGTTTGTGGGCAGGACGCCAGGCGCGATGTGAGGAAGTCTGCTCCGGGTCGGGGAGTCCGGCGTCCGCGGTTCCTGTGTCCCTTCCACGCGCTCCCCTCGCTCCTGCCCCGCAGAGCCCGTCTCCCTCCCGACCCGCACTCACCCGCCCGGGTCTCGGTCAGGGCCAGGGCCCCCGCCAGCAGCAGGAGGAGGGTCCAGGGCGCCATGGACTCCATCCTGGGAGTCTGGGGAGACACGGATCCCTGACGCGCCCGGTAGACTTTATACCCGGGAAGGCTCTGCGCTGACTTATCCTCCCGGAAGCCGGCTGCCCTAGGGGAGTGCGACCTAGGTTTGTGCCTCTAGTCCCGTCGGAGGTTATCAGCCACTTCTTATGTTTTTCGGAATTAGTGATGACCCCAAAGAGAAAAGGAACTTGGGCTAAATGTACCAATAACCTCAAATGAATGAAAACTTTAAATGAATACCGTTTTTAAGAGAAATAACTATTTCGAAAATAAACAGGATAGTGAGAATTCATTTTCACACTGTCTCTTTGCAGCTCCTTTTGTCTGTTTAGGTAGAAGATTACTGGATTTTCACTTTTGCTCTACATTTAACCTCTACCTCCCCGTTGTAGTATATGAAGAAAGAAACTCAGCATCAAACATGTAGGAAGAATACCTTAATAATGTATTCAAATAATTGTGACTATTCATCTTTGATCATACACTAAAGTGATCAAGTGCCAGCTTTTAAGGTTATTTGTAAGGGAGAAGCTGAAGCCCTACTGTGGGATATTTGATTTTCTGGTGTGTTAAAACTCACGGGTTCATCCTGCACACTGAATGGATTTTACTAATGCATGACTTCAGAAAGTACTGTAACACACTGTGTGATCATATTACTTAGGTTTTCTCCTGTTGACACTTAATTTGAAAATTAGTTATGTTTTGTAATATCACAAATTCTAAGAGAAAAGGTTGCAAGTATTTGGAAACTGTAAAATTTATGATGGTGGATACAAGTTTTCAAAACTTCTGTTTTCCTTTTTTAGAGCTTACATGGTATATTTGAAAAAAAAAACAGAAAAAACAGTGAGTTACACTGTGGAGAGATACTCAGCATTGTGTACATTTCAAAGTGCCTTGTTTCTGCACTTGCTCAGACACAGTTAGATACTACTCTGGTATTTTCTCACTTCACTTTCTTTTTTCTTCTCTCCTTTGTTTCTTTGGAGACAGGGCAGGGGGAGGCATGCCAGCCAGCTGGGCTGGGGGTGGCAGTGAGCCCTACTCCATGGACTGGGGTCTGAGGTTGCTGCCTGGCTCTGCTGTGTGGCCTGGATCAGCTGTGAGCTGTGGCTGTGGGACGAAGCTGGGGTGTTGCTGCCCGTGTTCTCTCCATGATCAAGAGGCTGTTCACATGATCAAGAGGCCTCTTTAGCATTGTACCTGATCTCACAGATGGCCTTGGCATTGACAAGCAAACGGTGATTTCACATTCTGATGGTTCAAAGACGCATCAGGGCCTCAGATGTCAGGGACCAGAGCTGGTGGATGCTTGTCCTGGTCGTGACTCACTTGTACCCTGTTAGGCTGCTCCCTTTTCTGACTTAACACAAACAAAAGGACCAAAAAAAAAAAAAGGGGGGGGGGCGGGGGCAGAACAAAGCTGGATCTGGGGAAAGGTTAGGCTGGGCAGGTCTACAACACCCATTGGTCTGCATGTGAACTGGGTTAGGAGGAGAGTCAGGCTGGGCTAAGCAACCACATTCGTTGGTACATGTATGAGGCAGAGTAAGTGCAGGCTGATTGGGCTTTAAGGCAGCATCAGCTGGCAAGTACTGGGACTGGGGGTAAGTCCTGTCAGGCTATACTGCAGAACTACCTGGAAAGTTCAAGATCCAAGGCTGAGAGTGGGCCTAGCAGGGAAACTGTGGGCACCGTTCTGATGGATTGTAGCTCCCACCAGTGAGCATGAGAATGAGGTCTGGGGGTGGGTCTGACTGGACAAGCAGTAGCACCTGACAGTGTTAGTATGGGCTGGTAGCAGGGTCGACCTGGCTGAAGAAGGCTGCAACACCCATGGCTGTGTATGAGAACTGAATGGGATGTGGGTGGGATGACTGGACCAGTCTGGTACACATACCAGCATGCACAGGAATCAGGGCAGGGGGTGGACATGGTCAGAGTTATAGGGGTCACTCTGATTAGGCTGCAGTTCCTGATGATATGTGTGAGGGCTGAGTGTGTGTTGAGCAAGTTTAGTTGGGGTCATAGCATCCATTGGCTCCTATATGAGATGGGGCTGCAGAAAGAATTGATTGGGTAACTGCAACCACCAGTGTATGTGTTCATGCTGATGTGGGTGACAGACTGAGCCAGATCCCCATACCTATGACTTTGGAATTTCTCAAGTAAT